CTGCAGGTAGGCGTCTCTGCAGGTAGGCGTCTCTGCAGGTAGGAGTCTCTGCAGGTAGGCGTCTCTGCAGGTAGGCGTCTCTGCAGGTAGGCGTCTCTGCAGGTAGGAGTGTCTGCAGGTAGGAGTGTCTGCAGGTAGGAGTGTCTGCAGGTAGGAGTCTCTGCAGGTAGGAGTCTCTGCAGGTAGGAGTGTCTGCAGGTAGGAGTCTCTGCAGGTAGGAGTCTCTGCAGGTAGGAGTCTGCAGGTAGGAGTCTCTACAGGTAGGAGTGTCTGCAGGTAGGAGTGTCTGCAGGTAGGAGTCTCTACAGGTAGGAGTGTCTGCAGGTAGGAGTCTCTACAGGTAGGAGTGTCTGCAGGTAGGAGTGTCTACAGGTAGGAGTCTCTACAGGTAGGAGTCTCTACAGGTAGGAGTCTCTACAGGTAGGAGTCTCTACAGGTAGGAGTCTCTACAGGTAGGTGTCTCTGCAGGTAGGTGTCTCTGCAGGTAGGAGTGTCTACAGGTAGGAGTCTCTACAGGTAGGAGTGTCTGCAGGTAGGTGTCTCTGCAGGTAGGAGTCTCTGCAGGTAGGTGTGTATGCTGCAGGTAGGAGTCTCTGCAGGTAGGAGTCTCTACAGGTAGGTGTCTCTACAGGTAGGAGTCTCTACAGGTAGGTGTCTCTACAGGTAGGAGTCTCTACAGGTAGATGTCTGCTGCAGGTAGATGTCTCTGCTCTGTGCTGTAATAACAGTTTCTGCAGGCTCAGAGCTGTATGAAGTCTCAGGAAGTCCCTCAGAGGCCAAACGTCAACGCTTCAGGCAGACAGGCAGGAAGTGAGACACCAGCCAGTGAGACGGGCTCCAGAGAACCCTGAGGACAGGCCCAGTGTGAGGACGCTCATGTCGAGGATGGACACGAGTCCCAGCAGAGACCACAGGTCAATAGAAACTTTAAAAGAAGGATTTACTTTGATTTAATCAGGACAAAAGACAGATTTTCACCTGGATCTGAAGACGTAACAGGAATATTTTCACCGTCTGAATCCACAGAGCGGACCGTCGACAGCTTCTCACAGATCAGGATTATGGTGCAGTGAGCTTCATGTGAGGAGCTGAAGAACCGTCATGATGCTGAGATGTGAAGCTGTCAGTTTGTTGTTCTTCCTGCTGCTCCAGGTCAGTCTGTCAACATGTTTCAAATATCTAAACTTCCTGCGCTGCTTTGAAATGTAAAACAGTAAAACAYGAAACATTTCTTAGACTTAACACATCAAACTCTAGGCCCGTGGGCCACAAGTGGCCGTTACAAGATACTTTTGTTGATTTATTTTGTTATAAACTTTATTCATTTCATAAAACAAAATTCTGTGTGCAATAAAAAATAAATAAAATAAAATGAAAGGTGGCAGAGAGAAGAAATCTTAAATCTGCCCCTTTTTTCTCAAATATAGATTCAAACTATAAAGATCTTAAGTTAAAAAATTTAAACCTGACGCATCACAACTCATAAAACTGCTTCTAAAGTTTCATATTTAGGTTTTCTTCAATAAGTTGTTTCTTTTTAAGTTAACCCTAAAAACTAAGATCCATTTATATTTTTTKTAATTAAATATTAACCAAGTTTGGATCTTGACTTTAATATTAGCCCTGTTCTAAACTAATTTTTATTAATAATAAATCACTCAGACAAAAAGGTATCCATCAACTTTATGTGTRGCTGTGAGTCGACTTCATTTGGAGAAAAACACAAGATGTGACATGGACTTACAGTAAACATGATTAATGAGTGAGCAGGTGCTCAATAAAACATAAATACAACTCCCAGCTCAAATATACTATCAGAATAAAAAGATAAAATCAAGTAAAACAAAGCAAAATACATAAAAATGACTGATGTTACTTTATCCAGTGTKGTATAAAGTACCACAAAGTAATACTTGAGTAAAAGTACAAGTATGTTACCAAAAACTACTTTGGTAAAAGTTAAAGTCTCCTTTAGGAATATTACTTGAGTAAAAGTACAAGTATGTTACCAAAAACTACTTTGGTAAAAGTTAAAGTCTTTTAGGAATATTACTTGAGTAAAAGTACAAGTATGTTACCAAAAACTTACTTTGGTAAAAGTTAGTCTCTTTTAGGAATATTACTTG